TCACCAATTAGCTCATTGCAAGTTGCTCGATTGTGACCCTCAGCTTTGCATCAGGAATATTTTGCTGAAATCACAAAGTTTACATCACACAAAACATAGTTTTAAAAATAGTTTATTGATTACTTATATTTTAGTAAGAACTTTCTGATTTTTTCCCAGAAGTAAAACATTCTATATTAACAACAGCTTGCATGTGAATCTTCGTACAACCATGTAGGCTGTCTAAAAATCACAATAGATAGCTGATCCCCATCAAACACCGATGATGGAAGTTACAATCTGACGACTTCCAGAAGGTTACAATTTGAAGACTTTCACGTAGATCGCTAAAGGTTACAATCTGACGATCTTCACGACAACTGATGGAAGCTCTAATCAAACAGCCTTCATAATCAACATCGGGAGTTACAATCTGACGACTCTCATATATCTGAGAGCTAAAGCAAAGATTATAAAATGACGATCTTTGCAACGCTTCGACAGAAAGAGACTACAAATCGACGGTCTCTTCAAATCAAGCTGCGGAAGTCCTCCCCGCACAACAGCATCAAGACGCATCGCGTCATAGCCACGAACGCAGCTCAACGCAGCTCCAACCGCTGCTCAACACAGCTCCAACCGCTGCTCAACGCAGCTCCAAGCGCTGCCCAACGCAGCTCTATACCGCTATCAAACGCAGCTTCCAAGCTGCCAAACGCAGCTTCCAACAAGATGCCAACGCAGTTTCCAGCCGCTGCGTCCGAGCTTTCAGACACCGCGTTCAAGCTTCCAAACACTGCGTTTGAACGCAGAATTTGCATCAGAACATGGATTTTGCGTTTGACTCGTTCAAACACGAGCTGAACGGTTTCAAAACCGTTTCCCACGATCTGAGGGGATCACAACTCCACTCAGGAGTGATTTAAGGGGCGGTTACATCCCATTAGCCCTACTTAGGAGCGAATTAAGGAGGTGGTTACACCCCTTAATCCTCTATAAATAACTGAAAATCAATTCAGTTCAGGTGGGGTCGGTTGGAACTTCTTGGCAGCGAAAAGAGGATCCTTCATCCTTCGGTTGGAGCTTTGGAGATCGGCAACAAGATCTTCTTCATCCTTGGCTTATAACCAACTTTCGGTTAAATCAACTCTTTCATAGAGTTTTAAACTCGTTCAGAGTTCTCCACAACGTCAAATCGTGAGGAGAAGACCACGTTCCAGTGAAACAAGACATCGGATCGTCAACGAGAAGCAAACTCGACGCGAGCATTCGAGGGAGGCATCTCATCGCCACCGTGAAGAACCCAGAATTAAACAAAGGAGAGAATCCAGATCATTCTCTTCTCTTTTGTAATCAGGAAATCCAATTGTAACTGAGATTAAAGGAATACAAATTAATTTTCCTTCGTTTCTTTTACTGCAAATTTTCCCACAAACAAACCAGTATTTCGATTGTGCTCCAACATGCACTTCAAACCATCTTCATTATCAACTGAAAAACTCAGGGTCAAGTGCCTCTCAGATTTATATATCAATGATAAAGCATCTTGAGGTACTTTCAGTCTGCCAGACACATCAAATTTCTGTTCTAAAAAACTTGTTGCAGATCTAAGCATCAAGAATATAACCTTATCGCCTAATGACACCATGCAAATCAAGTCTTTTGCGGCCATTAGGGGTTGCTGAAAGTGATGAGAATAATTATGAGGAGTAATTGAGAGAATTTTTAGGGCATAAGGGGTTGTTGAAAGTTAAAGAATAAAAATCATAATATCATAAATGAGAGAGTGAGAGATAAAACCATAAAATACACAACTCATGATGAGTTAGCCTAGTAATGGAGGGAACACGCTGTTAGACCCTAGAGGGGGGGGGGGGGATTAGGGGGTGATTAGGGTCTTATGCTAATCTAATCTGATTTTATACCAATTAAAACTTATTAACAAGTTATCCTAGCAAGTATGAAATACAACCAATTAAAACTTATTAACAAGTTATCCTAGCAAGTATGAAATACAACATGATATGTGAGCTAGGATAAACAATATGAACAATGAGATATATCCTATATGATAAATATATATGCAAGGATATATAAACTAACACAAGGGTGATATAATCAAACTATAAAAGGGATAGGGTAAAATATACAAGAGTAATAAGCAATGTCGATATAAGATAAATGCATAAGCAAATACGCCAATGACAAACTCAAACACACGCAAATGATCACGGAATTCGAACCTTCCGTCCTACGTCTCCGCTCCCCACTCCCGGGAAGAAATCCACTATCACAATCGGGTTCTCTACGTTCACCCGAATAATGTTTACACATCACAATGTCAGTTTTCAATGCTCACCGATCAACGTAACACTCACACTCATAATGTCGGTTTTCAACGCTCACCGATCAACGTTCACTCCATCAACGTAACACTCACACTCATAATGTCGGTTTTCAACGCTCACCGATCAACGTTCACTCCTCACACTCGGTTTTCTAGCTCACCCAACGCTCACCGATCAACGTTCACTCCTCACACTCGGTTTTCTAGCTCACCGAAAACTTTACAATCTCATAATATAACAAACAATAAATTTGTTCTCTACAATAGATGAGAACACAATGAAAACTCACACTCAATTATTACAACTCTCACCAACCCAAATATACTATGCATGAAAATACAATAAGCTCAAGTGAGTGTGTGTAAACAATGAGTGAAATAAAATCAACTAAACTCAAATGTAAATACTAGCTTAATAGAAATGATAATCAACAAATAATTATAAATAAAAGCTAGAATTGAGTTTAGGAAAACTTCTCTAGATGACAAGAGAGAGAGAGAGAGATGGATTGAAGCTCAAACACCAAGTGATAATCTCTTCTAGCTCTTGTGAAATTGAATTCATAAAATCAAACTCTCAATTGCTTAAAAGTTTTTTAAACAAACTTTAAACAAAACTTAAACCCTTGTTAAAAAAATCAAACTCTCAATTGCTTAAAAGTTTTTTAAACAAACTTTAAACAAAACTTAAACCCTTGTTAAAACATTCTAAAACTTGTTTAAAACACAAACTTTAAACAAAACTTAAACCCTTGTTAAAACATTCTAAAACTTGTTTAAAACACTCTCATTGTATATCAAATGATAAATATAATAGGGTATATATAGGGTAGAAGAAAACAACCCCAAAAACCCTAAAATACCACTAAAAGACAAAAAATAGCAAGTTACAGTTACTGTGCAAAGGTAACTTCGGCGGTCGATCGTCACGGTCGACCGCGAGAAGAAAAACTCAAAAACTGCTCTCTGGACCGCGTACGGCCGACCGCCATGGTCGAACATACTGTAGCACGGTCGACCGTGACGGTTGACCGTACTGTAGCAAACATGCACAGGCAGTTTTCGGTTTTTAACAGTTCTGAAATTTTACATATCTAACTTTGTAAAATTAATTAAAAATAGTAAATAAACTCCAAAAAGCATAAAATTTTTAGGGAAGGTTCTAGACATGTATATGAACATGTTAGAGAAAGAATTTCTGAAAAATCACTTCCCAGTTGAGAGAAATAAATGTTTGAACACAGATAAACAGTTTCTAAAAAACTACTGAAAACTCGGTTTTGTAAATTCAATTGAAAATAACAAAACAATTCCAAAATTAGTAAAACTTGGGGAAATATTTATATATATGAATATAAGCATGTAAACGAAGAAATTTTTTAAATTGCATTTCCCAATTGTGAAAACTCATGTATTTTGTAAGTATGTCCAAAACATGAAAAGTTGATATACATGAAATTTGATGTTTTGACATAAACACAACTTTGAAATATTTTCAAACGTTCTTATAGACTTAATAAAAGATATAAAAAGTTGTTATGAAGTCCATAAACTAGAAACATAATATTTTCACAAATATGCATATTCTATGCAATATTTTCTAAAACACAAATATGTAATCTCATATTTATAAATATGGAAACCCAAAAACATTTATGTATATATATATATATAACTATATATATATGCATAGAAACTAAAAACTTGTATGTATATATAAAACTATATATACATAGAAACCAAAACTAAAATGTGTGTGTATATGATATCGAGCTTAAAGTATTGAACACACATAATACAAATCTAAACTAATATACCCAAGCAATCTTGATTTTCAATAAGCTTGACTTGGTACACTATGCGGATGAAGCTGAACTTGGATCTTGAACTTGAATTGCATAAGCTTCACTCCACAATTCCGCCAACCTCCATTTGATATTGTCGTTGAAGCGCTATTCCATCCATCCTCCAACTCGTTGTTTGTCTAGAATAAATACAAAAACACAAACACTAGACGAACAACATTAGAAGTAAATTGTTTGTTAAACATCATCAAAACAAGAAGACCAACACCCGCGCTTTCCCCCCTCCATTTTCGGCGTCGAATCGTGTTAATTGCAATGACAGCGATCTCTGGCTCCGTGGGTTAAGGGGAATGTTTCTTGGGTGGGAGATGATGGCGTTTTCAGTAGGCTTTGAGAAATACACAGAGTACATGTATAAAAGTGGCCTTTTGGGGCTATGCCACACTTTTTTACCTCTTTTTGGGCTAAAGAATAAGGGAAAAAATTGCTGAGACCGAGTCACATTAGTTTCCTGATTTTGGGGCATTGACACATTTTTCCCTTAAAAAAAAGAAAAACAACTGTATTTTTTTATTTTTGGATAGGCCAACAGAACAATTATTAAAATAACACGATTGCAGGGTTTCTACAAAAATATGTAATTCAAAGGGAAATAATCTTTAAAATATGGAAATTGAGGGGTTTACTAAAAAAATAGTTTCAGACTTCCGAGGTCCAATTTACACAGCAAAGAAACTGAAAGTTTTCAGCACTAAGGCTAACCACGGCCGTCGGATCTAAATCCAACATCCCAAATCAAAAGCCCCACGTCATAAGTCAAGCTCATCCCTACTGGGCCCCACCTCGATGCCGATCTAGACCCCGAATTAAAAAAAAAAAAAACGCCGGCAAATTCGATCTCGGTTTCGAATCCCAAATTCGCAAAAGAGAGAGAGCGAGAGATTCAAAGAGAAAGAGAAGAAAATGGGGTGGATTGGGGACCAAATCGAATCCATTCGCTCTATCCAAGTTCGTCAGCTCCTCACTCAGGCGATCAGCCTTGGTTCGCTTCCTTCAAACCCTAGTCAATTTCGGTCAAAATTAGGGTTTGTTTTTTTTACCCCCGAAACTTACGTAATTTCAATTTGTTTGGTTTAGGTATGATCGTGACTTCGGCGCTGATTATATGGAAGGGGTTGATGTGTGTGACTGGAAGCGAGTCCCCGGTGGTCGTCGTTCTGTCGGGGAGCATGGAGCCTGGTTTTAAGAGGGTTAGGCTCTATCATCTTCTTTGGTGAATTTTGTGACGTAAAGATTTGATCTTGGTACTGTCTTGACGATTTTGTCCCATTTCTGCTGCCTAGATGCGTCTTGTTCTATGAAATAGCGAGTGCATTTTGTAAAGATAATTAGTAATTGTTAAGGACCTGGGAGAATTCACTCTAAAGCCTAGCTCCTGGGAGCAGGGAACCCAAATGTCTGGTAAAACCTTATGTGATTGGACTAAACGGATCGTAACACACACCAACGCCAACATTACTGGCTTTTTGAACACTACAATTCAACCTTCAGCACTTTGGTTTTGCACTCTAGTGCTGGACTAACACTGCAACTCCAGCGTCACCACCCACTTGCAGCTGGGAAGATGGGGTTGAGTCTGATGCCATTTGTTAGCCTTAGGAGAACTCACCTCCAAAATATATTCATTAGGAGAAGAGGACCTGAGTCTCTAATAAACCCACATCGGCTTCCCATTTAGTCAATGTGGGACAAAATGAAGCCTAATGAAAATATTTTTCTGACGAAAATCAGATGGAGAGACTGTTTAAGGAATTAGTTGGTGATGTTGGTGGCAACGATTGATGATATGGGGGCAATAGTGCTTTTGATAGCGACGGTGGTGATAACGCTTTTGACAGCTACGATGGCAACAACAAAGGATCGGTGGTGATGGTCGATAATACATACAATTGTGGTCCTGGTCTATAAGCTTTTATGTGTGTGCAATAACGACTATGTGTGTGTCTATGCGTAATTTTTGGTTCCTCAAGATTCACATAATTCAAGCTCCAGGACCTTGGGGATGGACTTGTCAATGGTTCAGTGATAAAGGGGTAAAATGGAGTTATAGGAAGTCATAGGTAGTATGGCCTTTGTTCCAGAACAACGGACATTGTGATTAGACTACAACTGCAGTCAAGAATTTTTCTCTGAATAAAAAGTGCTACTTTCTAGTTATTGTTTGTTTGATCGCTAGAATCTTTAGAAGCACCTATACCCTCTAACTTGCCCCTCATGTACTTGGAATATGCAATTACGAAATATTGAAATATCTTTTTAGTACTTGTTTTGCTAGTACAATTATGGGCTGTTTTTACCTCGTCTTACAAGGTGGGTTACTTCATGGCATGCAAGTCTTTGCTTGTATGCCAGTATATGGTAGTCATTATAATACAAAATGATTTACTTAGTTGCACTCATGCAGCTGCACCTCGGTAAATATGAAGTTGTCCGTTGTATGAAATGTATTATAGTTGTCATTGTCATAGCAAATTGTGGTTGGGAGCTCTGCGTAAACATCAATTTTTTCAAACCCAAAAAGTTTGGTATGTAAGTAAATAAACTAAGGTTAGAGAAGTCTGTTTTAAGGATCTGGTGACGATGAGGTTGATAATTTTACATGTTTTGGTAGTATTTCACATACTTGATTGTGTGCCTATGTGTCTATATGTGTGTATAAAAGTATGCCTATGTTTGTGCTACCGTGTCCTTTCTAATTTAATAATTAATATTATTGTTAATTTTGCAGGGTGATATTTTATTTTTGCACATGAGCAAGGATCCAATTCGTGCTGGTGAAATTGTTGTATTTAATATTGATGTAAGTATTTGACCTTTTTCTTCTAAGTTATAAGTGGTTATTTAAGGACTCCGGCTTGAATCTTATTTAATGTTTATGATATGTTGGAGTTATATTCATTTGTTAAAGAAATTTAGGAGGAATTTTCCTTCCATATTCTTGAAGTCATCCAATCGACTTGGTTTTCGTGATTTATATCGATTCATTTTCTATCTCTTAGTATGGAAGTTAAACATGCTTGTTGTTTGGGTTGAGACTTGATATAAATTTGAAAGTTTGGGTCATAGATGTTGGGAACATGGGACGCTATAGTGAACTGTGACCCAAGTTCAATTGTCCCAGGTTCGCGTGGAACATGACCCAATTCATCACCTCCAGCGACCCAATTTAGACTTCAATCCGGTTCAAATTTGGGAAAAATTTGGGAAATAATAACTCTCTTTTTAAAAAAAGAACAAACAACAAAAAACGTGATATATTAAGCAAATAAAAGTATGCATACCTTGATTGCAAAATGATTCTCAAGGTTCTTTTACCATTACTGAAATCAACTAGCATAGTTTTGAAATTTGACTCTTGCAAAAACTTCGGTTCCTACATTTTTTTTTGAGAGAAAGGATGGAATACCAGCTAAATTAAGATTTCGGTTCCTACATTTAAGAACCAAACCTAAAGCGTACTACGTTTCCTGGCGTACTGTATAAGCCTACCCCACTTTGCACCCGATTCCTAATGAGTGGCATGCCACATTCCTGTACCCACCTGTGAACCGGAGCGAACTAGGTTCCATGCAACTATGACTTCGGGTTGTGGATTCAGTGATTAGACTTGGTTCCAAGTTTCTTCTTCTTTTCTCGTATTGGAACAAAAACTGAGCCTCCTTTCTCTTTTTAAAATTTCTGCTATAAATATTGCTCACATTTGTTTTGTTGAAAACTTAGGCCCTTAGTAACTTTTTTAGTTTCACTCTTTGTTAATATACTTGAACTTATTTGACTTTTTTTTATAGACTTTTGACCCAATGTTTAATTTTGGTGGGTTCTTTAGGGTGCTGTATTTCAATGCATGTGAGAGCTTACTCCTAAAAGTTTTTATATATCTCTATCAAATTCTTCATTTCTACTAATGCGCCTTGTGTCGCAATTCGTTTGGCAGGGACGTGAAATTCCAATTGTTCATCGTGTAATCAAGGTAAACTTTCTCCTTTCTCAATCTTTAACCCGTAAATTTGCTATTACATAGTCTTTTATCTTCTGATACTCCTTAATTGTGAAACATTTGGTTTTCGCATTTTGTTTTATGATCTCCATTTACTCCCGTAACTTCACTAATACATGCCATAGTCTTTAAAAAAAATTACCATTTCCTATATAGCCTTGTTGGCGTATATCCGACTCTCTGATATGATATGTACATGTATGTGTGTAACCTGGTTACTTATTTTTCTGTAGTGTTCTTCAACGTACTGGAACTCCCTATAGAGACTTATAGTGAAAGCCTTTTTACTGACTTTTATTTGCTTCAAATGTGATACTGAAATTGAGTATGTAATATTGAGAATTTCATCTTCTGTATGTATGGTGAAAGTTTTCTCTTTTGGCGACATGTTATTTTGAATTAGGCATCACAGTTATACATGTTGACCTATATTTGTAACTAGTTACTGAAAAATGGCAGTTTGGTTCAGGTTTATATGAATTGTTCTACTTAACTTTGAGACTCAAGGTTGATTGCTGTATATAGGTGTTTTCGGCAAATTACACTAGTTTTAGACTCACACACTGTCCTCAAATGCTGAGTTAACATTGTAGAAAAAATATTTCTGTGATTTTGGGATTCTTCTTGAGCTATGCAGACAAATTTCTGAGCCTATGGACTGTATTTTATTGGTAGACAAATTTGTTTCCCTTCTTGTGATATACTCATAATTTTGTTAGCAGGAAACTCTGTACATTTTTCTGATACAATATTTGTGGATGTTTATTTTTGTGATTGTTAAAATAATTTCGTATGTAGGTCCATGAACGACAGGAGACCGGAGAAGTTGATGTTCTCACAAAAGGTACCATCCCTTTGGAATTTTTCCTGTAGTAATAACAAACTTTGATCTAGTGAGCTACTGATCTTCTCCTAGAGTAATATCGGCGCCAATATTAGTTCTGATATTGGATTCAAAGAAGATTATTGTTAACATGGCTTGACATGTTTGTTACCAGAAATTCAAAATAATGGCACCTCTAATCTGCTTATGTGCTTCTGTGAATTAAGGTGTCATACTGTCATTTTGTTATCAGAGAGATATCAAGTAGAAAAGAATGATTCTGAATTCCTTTTTCATGGACAGTGTAATTTATGTTAGCATGTCTGTCGTCTTCCCTTTGCATGCACCACTTATCAGTTCTTATCCATAGGCGAAGTTGGGATAAATTGGATAGCCAAGTTGCATGGTACAAGTATGGAGAAATGAGACACATCAATGAAATTTACATGTTTAGCATGTTATAGTAATTGATAAGATGGGGAACATCTCAAGAGGAATTCAGACAAACTACCAGTAAATGTGATTTTTGTGTTAGCATGTACCCCAGATTTTGTAATATGGTATGCTAAATACTAATACTCACTGTGTGGATTTCTCAGGGGATAATAATTATGGGGATGACAGACTTCTTTATGCTCAAGGTCAGCTTTGGCTTCAGCGGCACCATATTATGGGGCGAGCTGTTGGGTGAGGACTAGTATTTTTATTGTTGGCTTCAATTGACTTTCAAGTCTCGATAATTTTCCTTATCATCGTTCTGATAATTTGCTCTTGGGCATGCATATTATCTTCTCTAAATTGGTCTTGGTTCCTTTTTATCAGGTTTTTACCATATGTTGGCTGGGTGACCATTATCATGACTGAAAAGCCAATCATTAAGGTACGGTGTTTAAGAAGCATTTTCTTTATATCGTAAATTGGTTAATTTCCTGTCTATATTGATATCACTGTATGTTTAAGGAATTATGTACCGATATGCTGTTGAATACTAATACATGTTACTCTTGAGAGACATTATAAATCATTAGTAGCCATGAATTTCTGATGTCTTACCGCATTTGGTTAATTTTGATTTAAATTGGTGTTCTGGTTCTTTCGGACATCTATGTCTAACATATTTTGACCCCTTAAATAAGTAAATAATGTGACGTTAATCGACATCAATGTTCCTTGGTGGGCTGAGTTTGAGAAATTAGATTCAAGCTGATTCTATATCTTGCATCTTTTAATTTGACTAGCTTTGATAATATAAATTCTTTGCACACATCAATTATCCACTTGGATCTACAAATAACTGATGCTTTAATGAGGACTTTTGTCAATGTTATTCTATATATGTACTTCAGGTACAATGATTGTTTCAGTTTAGATTACTTATTACCTCAAACTTGTCAGGCTTTGCCATTATATTATGATTAAGTGCTTTACATATTCACTATTTGAGCAGGGATTAACAGATACTTTTCCCAGGATTGCCTAAAAGAAACCCAATTTTAATATTCAACTTGAACTTTATTTCAAAGTTTACTAATATTATATTCATTCCTCTTGCAGTATTTACTCATAGGCGCCTTAGGATTGCTGGTTATAACTTCGAAAGAGTAGAGTGTTTACATTATGGGTATAAACCCCAATCTACATGCAGGTACTGTACGATTGACTAAAACTCGCAAATGTGGGATTTCTATTTTTAATCGATAGATCAACTTTTGAGATTATGAATATGA